CGTTTATTTCATATTTCATGTCTACAGACCTACGACTTTGTAGGTACGTGTGGCAGATACCCAACGGAAAAACAAACAACCCACCCAGCTAATGCCGCGCAGAGAGTTGAAGTAAAACCAACAGTCACCTGTGCAACGTCTTCGACTTGGAAGATTCGTCGCAAATTATTTCCCACTATGAAAAGCAGGAATTAATTTCGTTTGGTCGATCCAACCAACCCCATCATCAGTACCGGGCATGGTCTCCTCAGAACGGTGAGAACCGTCTGAGTAATCACGACCAAATGCAATTAATTCCAGCTAGTCATAGAATCTCTCTACAGTTGATTCAGTGGGATGACCACTGCGACACCTGCAGACAGAGCCAGGATACAATTCCACAAGCATACCCTTCCACAAGAATTAATTTCCTAAAAACGAGTTAGTTATTTTCTTGTTTGAACCTAACGAAATTTTTGCATTCTTTAAATGAAATTTATTTAAAGTTAAAATTTAGGTACTTCAAATTGTAAAAATATACATGAAGCATGGAATATGTCGATTTTAGTTACTTTAGACACGCCTGAAGAAGCTATTGTATAGCGAAACACGTGTTGCGTTTTTGTAAAACATACAAAAACTAATTCATCAGGAATACATTATGTTCTGGATGTGCTAGCCAGTATTAATTGATTTCCAAATCCAAACTGTACAATGACATTCAACTGCATCAAAAATATTCAAAACGAGCATAACTTGAAACAAACTTAATGCATACAGGTTTCCAAATCCCATTTCTTTCAACGTAACAAGCACAATAAGGTGACAAAATTATTCACATACATTGATTACGATTCAGTGAATATGGAAATTTATGCTTTGTGGAAAGTAAACGACGAATTTCAAAGTATTATTGAAGAGTACACTTTTCAGTGTATATTTTTTAATCTTCTTCTGTTATGATACTAAAATCATAATTTTCAACAGAAAACCAACCAAAGCAGGAACCAGAGATAACTATTAGTTTCTTGTCGAAGAAAGAAAACATATATATCTCACAACAATGTGGAAAATCATTGAAAAAAAATGCTTTGTTGACAAAGCACTCACTTTTTAATACTTTGAAAAACTTGTTTTATTCCGTTTTAAAATCTGTTTTATTGGTTTTCTACATCTCCAAAATAAATATGGAACTGAAAGTTTCCAAAGAAAGAAAAAAAGATAAATAAATATCCATAATAAAAACTCTTTATGGAAAGTTCTCATGTGGAATGAAAAATATAAGTTGTACTTACACAAACACTTACATGCATTGGACTGAATTAAAATCAATACTTCAATGTTTCAAATGAGTATAAAAAGAATTCATCTAATGAATGAAAAAGTTTGTTTTTCTTTCGAATTACCGATTTTTTTCATATATCTTTGACAATTTGTATGATTATCTTCCTGTAGAATATAAAGTTCTCAGCCAATCTTAATTAAAAAAAATTGTAAAACCTATCTGCTAAAATACTGCTTCTACTTTCATACTTTCATATCCTCAATTTGACAATTGTTATCTAAGTTTTTGTAATCGATATTTATTTGTTCATTCTTATTTTAGAAAGGTTTTTGTGACAGATATTTTTCAGATGTTGTATTTTAAGATCAATTATAATATGATATATTTTGAAGTGTTTGTGTTGTCCAATATTAATGACCTCTAGTGTTGAATGTAAATGACTTGCTACAGGATTGTAATATAGTAAATAAACTTTATTACTTGACTAAAAACATTCAACTGTGTGAATCAAGAAATACGAATACTGCTGCAAAAAGCCTTTTATCACTACAGATCTTTTGCAATTGCATATAATAATCTCAAGATTCATCTCCAAAGAACTATCGACAATAGGCT